ATTTTTGGCCTTTCCCCCCCCCCCCCCACTTTTTTTTGTATCTTTATTTTTATTTCGCCTGTATGGTATGTAAAGTTCATTTCTTTCTCTTATTTGTGATACTCTTTCTAGGTTTTTATCAAAGAGTGATCATTTAGCATGCATGAGAAACTTTTATGCTTTGCATATGGTCGCAGATGGCGCCACTTGAATCACTTCACGTCTTGAACTAGCCTGGGCTCCAGGCCCTAATTTTAGGTTACTCACTCTTTATTGCACTTAGTGCGCGCCATACCTAATTTAATTGGCGTCCCATACTCGATTTCTTTTTTTTTTTTTCGAATTAGGGCCTGGGCAAACGATTCATGCGTGCAATTTCCCACATCAAATTTGATGTGGGATATCGTATGCATGATTGATTTTGTAAATCACGTGATTGGCTAACTTCATGCATATTAATCAATCTTCGTAAATTTTCAAAATTGAAGATGCGGATGTCTCGACTAGAACAAGCCCCAGCTCCCTTTTGGCTACCTACTTGAATTAAAACAGTTAGTATAATTAATAGTTCTGGCCTGCTGAGAATGACATGGACTGATAACCGTACTAGGCTATACTAAGAACCTTGCTCACCGCTAGCTGCTACAGATTTAGGCCTTTAGGGTAGAATATTGTTAAAAAGGTAGGCCTCTGTAAGTAAGAACTTAAAAATACGCCAAGCCTCTACTACTAGTCTAGGCTAGGCCTACTACTTCTGACTCCATCCAGACGAGGCCTGAGCCATCTTCCTGGAAAGTTAAAGTTTTGTTGTATTTGTATGGTATGCCATCTAGTCTAAGCTTAATTGCTTTTGCCATAGTCTTACTAGGGTCTATTCTAAATATTTTAGGCCCATTTTATTAGGGAGGACTATTTAAATTTAGTCATGCCTAACTAGTCGACGCGAGTGACTCAGTTTCGTGGCTCCAAAAATATAAACATTTGATTGGTTGAAATTGTTTATTCGGTCCTCCCATTTATCCAAATACGGAATATAAGATTACGTCATTCTTTTGGCATCCTGGTGCCTGATTTCAGTGTTTTACAAGTCGCTTATCTTATTCCGTCTATCTCTAAATTAACTTTCTCGTTGGTGGCGCTGTCCAGAATGAGAAAAATAATAACGAATAAGAGACTTGTGGCAAGTCTAGTCTTGAACTAACAACATAACATTGCCTATTAAAGAGGACCGGGAAGGGGAGATACATTGATTGTGAGTACAAATCATCGTACTTTTAATATAATATTGTTTATTATAATAAATATCCGAAATGACCTA